ACTACTTTTGAAAAATGAACTGCACCAAATCACATGGTACCATGTAATCTGGTGCCAGTAAAAGCACTGCGCTTGCAGGGCCATTAACAATTTATTGGCACCTGCAGAAGATCGCATAGGTAGTGTGTTTTGAATGTGGTGTGGGAATTGTGCACTGAACACACCTTTCCAGCATCGTGTTCTGATGTGAACCGGCCCTAAAACTACAGATTTCTACACTTTGGTGGGCTCTTTGCTATTGACGTGTGATATCATGATACCAACATCAGAAGAGCTCTCTAAGGGCATCAGAAAGAAGTTTATGAATGCCTATAAATCTTGTAGAAGATTTACCCTTTTGCTGTCAGAGAGAATTTTGCTTATTTTTGTTTACAAACATTTTAAATATGCAGGTTTTAAACCTAAAGATTAGTTAAAATCCCCAAAAATTGTAAATTTTCTAAAAGCAGAGAATGGGGAAATGGTGGTAGTTCTAATTTTTTAAGTCTCAGAATGTTAGCACAACAGTTTATCAAATACATATTTTAAATACAAAATACACTAAAGTTCATTTTAATGCACCCAGGTGCAATATATTGCCCAATTTATGATAACCTTTAAAAGAAGAGGTTGTGCCAAGTGAATAGATACCTTAAAATTGAGTGTTCATCAATTTAGAGCCAACCATAAATGATGGCTCCAGAATGATTGTAAGCTCCAAGGAGCATGACCCTCCTAACCCTCTTGTATTGAACTGTATTGTTGCTGCATTGTCTCCCTTTATATTGTAAAGCGCTGAGCAAACTGTTGGCGCTATATAAATCCTGTATTATAATAATAATGATTGCTCTCACTAGGAGGTAGGCGATGATATGCAAGATATATAACTCAATCGCTGTTTTAATACATAGGCGCCCCGACGTATGCATTTACATTTGAAGGTACGTATACAGTTGCAAGAAAAAGTATGTGAACCCCTTGGGATTATGTGGAGTTTTGCATGAATTGGGCATAAAATGTGCTCTGAACGTCATCTAAGTCACAAAAATAGAAGAACACAGTCTGCTGAACATAATACTACACAAACATTAGATGTTGCCATGGTTTAATTGAACATAACATGTAAACATTCACAGTGCAGGGAGGAAAAAGTATGTGAACCTTTGGACTTAATAACTGATTGACCCTCCTTTGGCAGCAATAACCTCAACCAAACATTTACTGAAGTTGCAGATCAGACCTGCACAACGATCTGGAGTAATTTTGGACCACTCCTCTTCACAAAACTGTTTCAGTGTAGCCATATTCTTGGGATGTCTGGTGTGAATCGCTTTCTTAAGGTCATGCCACAGCATTTCAATCGGGTTGAGGTCAGGACTCTGACTGGGCCACTCCAGAAGGCGTATTCTGTGCCTGACACCTAGCTAACAGGTGGGAAGCCTCACTTTTATCATTCACTGCATGCTCTGCTAGTAATATGGAGTCATGTCAGAGCTTACTGAGCTTCAAAAAAGGGCAAATTGTTGGTGCCGCTTAGCTGGTGCCTCTGTGACTGAAGTTGCCAATTTACAGTATCAAACGTTGTGACTAGAGATGAGCGAATCGAACCAGGCGAAGTGGAATTCGTTTCAAATATCGGGAAAAATTCGATTCGCATCGAATCCGAATTTTAGCCAACTTCGGGTGCACGAATCGAATTTTTTTCCCGATCAGCCGGCAAAAGTGTCACTGCAGAGAGCTCCGCTATTTCTGACAGTTCTGACAGTTCATTTACAGCGGTTGAAACATTGTATCTATTTGTTTCCATTTAGGATACAGATGTTTTTATTCGGAAATAAATAGATACAAATGTTTCAACCGCTGTAAATGTGAAGGAACTGTCAGAGAACTGTCAGAAATAGCGGAGCTCTCTGCAGATACACTTTTTGCTGTAACTGGAATACTTCTTCTTTTCATTCTTCTTCTTATTTTCATTCTTCTTCTTCTTTTCATTCTTCTTCTTTTTTCATTCTTCTTTTCATTCTTCTTCTTTTCATTCTTCTTTTCATTCTTCTTCTTCTTCTTTTCATTCTTCTTTTCATTCTTCTTCTCATTCTTCTTCTCATTCTTCTTCTCATTCTTCTTTTCATTCTTCTTCTTCTTTCATTCTTCTTCTTCTTTTCATTCTTTTCATTCTTCTTCTCTTCTTCTTTTCATTCTTCTTCTTCTTCTTTTCATTCTTCTTCTTCTTCTTTTCATTCTTCTTCTTTTCATTCTTCTTCTTCTTCTTTTCATTCTTCTTCTTTTCATTCTTCTTCTTCTTTTCATTCTTCTTCTTCTTCTTTTCATTCTTTTCATTCTTCTTCTTCTTTTCATTCTTCTTTTCATTCTTCTTCTTTTTCTTTTCATTCTTCTTCTTCTTTTCATTCTTCTTTTCATTCTTCTTCTTCTTCTTTTCATTCTTCTTTCATTCTTCTTCTTCTTCTTCTTTTCATTCTTCTTCTTCTTCTTTTCATTCTTCTTTTCATTCTTCTTCTTTTCATTCTTCTTTTCATTCTTCTTCTTCTTTTCATTCTTCTTCTTCTTTTCATTCTTCTTCTTCTTCTTTTCATTCTTCTTTTCATTCTTCTTCTTCTTTTCATTCTTCTTTTCATTCTTCTTCTTCTTTTCATTCTTCTTCTTCTTCTTTTCATTCTTCTTCTCATTCTTCTTCTTTTCATTCTTCTTCTTCTTCTTTTCATTCTTCTTTTCATTCTTCTTCTTCTTCTTTTCATTCTTCTTCTTCTTCTTTTCATTCTTCTTTTCATTCTTCTTCTTCTTCTTTTCATTCTTCTTCTTCTTCTTTTCATTCTTCTTCTTCTTCTTTTCATTCTTCTTCTTCTTCTTTTCATTCTTCTTCTTCTTTCTTCTCCTTCTTTTCATTCTTCTTCTTCTTCTTTTCTTCTTCTTCTTCCTCTTCTTCTGGCAACTCCACCACGCAGCTCATTTTTGTTCCAGTATTACTGTATTTTGCTCCTTTAAAATCCTGAAACTTTCTTTTGGCAGGTGTACAGACTCAGGTACTCAGTGCAGGAATGGTGGGAATCCCTCACAATGGACACAGCAGGTGTACATACAGACCCAGGAATTCAGCACAGGGATGGTGGGAACCCCTCATAATGGGCACAGCAGGTGTGCATACCCAGAACCTCAGCACAGGGATGGTGGGAACCCCTAGTAATGGGCGCAGCAGGTGTGCAGACTGGGACCTCAGCACAGGGATGGTAGAAACCCCTCATAATGGGAACAGCAGGTGTACAGACCCAGGAATTTAGCACAGGGATGGTGGGAACTCCTCCTAATGGGCAGAGCAGGTGTACAGACCCAGGAACTCAGCACAGGGATGGTGGGAACTTCTCATAATGGGCGCAGCAGGTGTGACAGACCTGGAACCTCAGCACAGGGATAGTGGGAACCCTCATCATAGGCGCAGGTAGCAGGGTGTGCATACCCAAACCTCAGCACAGGGATGGTGGGAACCCCTCAGCATGGTGTGTAACCTGGGCACAGCAGGTGTTAGTGGGTTTTAACTCATACATCCCATACCTCTATAGACACAGGGATAGGGAATCATAATGTTCACAGAGCAGGTCTCTTAGGGGGTTTCTTTCTTCTGGTCACAGCATCCATTAGAGACTTCTTTTCAATATAGTTCATTTTCTTCTTCATTCTTCTTCTTCTTCTTTTCATTCTTCTTCTTTTCATTTCTTCTTTTCTTCTTCTTCATTCTCTTTCATTCTTCTTCATTCTTTTCATTCTTCTTTTTCTTTTCATTCTTCTCCTTCTTCTTCTCTTTTTTCATTCTTCACATTCTTCTTTTCATTTTTCTTTCTCTTTTCATTCTTCTTCTTTTTCATTCTTCTTTTCATTCTTCTCATTCTTCTTTTCATTCTTCTTCTTCTTTTCATTCTTCTTTTCATTCTTCTTCTTCTTCTTCCCCCACATTCTTCTTCTTCTTTTCATTCTTCTTCTTCTTCTTCTTTTCATTCTTCTTCTTCTTTTCATTCTTCTTTTCATTCTTCTTCTTCTTTTCATTTCTTCTTCTTCTTCTTCTTCTTCTTCTGCCCAAATGACTGCCCAAATGTGCGTCGTGACTGCCCAAATGAGTGAAGTGTGCGGTGATTCTAAGATCGACGGCACTCATCTGCATGTCATACTGACTGTCAGTATTATTTCTCTTCCCCAGCAGACTCCAAGGGCATTTAAATTAAAGGTACAGTGTTCTGCACTAATATAAAGGCTCTCTGAAGCCTAGAAACCCTTTAAATAAGTTAAATTCGCGGCGAATAAATTCGCATCGAATCGAATTTCTCCCGCTAATTCGGCGAATCAGCCGAATCGAATTTTTGAATAATTCGCTCATCTCTAGTTGTGACGGCAAATACCAGAGCTTGACAAATTTGCTTTGAATCTAGGAGCCAGCTAAAAAAGTTAAGAGCCAGCTATTTTTAGCATAGCGTGGGTTGTCGGCGTCCGGGGCAAAGCAACTTTTGGGCGACAAGCTTCACGCGATACAATTTGTTGCACAACAATCACAGCAAAACCGCACCACGTTTTAGGTTCCATTGAAAATAATGGCACTTGAACTTTTTGTGATTGCAGCGATTCTGCCGTGATTCCAAACCGCCTAGGTGTGAAGGAGCGGCCCTGGTTCACACACATGCGATTCTGGATGCATTTTCAAACTCACAGATTCGCATGACGGGCTATATATTATTCCTATTGAGGTGGTTCACACAGATGTGATCTACCCACATTTTGTTTTGAATGCCATTATGAAAAGGGTCCTGTGCAAGTTTGTAGTGGTGTGAAAGTGATGCAATCATTCCTTAACAGGAATATCCCTGTAGGAACTACCGTATTTTTTGCTCCATTAGACGCACCTGACCATAAGACGCAACTAGATTTTAGAGGAGGAAAACAAGAAAAAAAAATTCTCTGAACCAATGGACTGCGGACATAGAAATGACCAGAGACTGCGGACATAGTACGGACATAGTACAGGAGATGACTAGAGACTGCAGACATAGTACAGGAGATGACCAGAGACTGCAGACATAGTACAAGAGATGGTCAGAGACTGCAGGAGTAGTACAGGAGATGACCAGAGACTGCGGACATAGTACAGGAGATGACCAGAGACTGCGGACACAGTACAGGAGATGATCAGAGACTGCGGACACAGTACAGGAGAAGACCAGAGACTGCAGACCTACTACAGGAGATGACCAGAAACTGCAGACACAGTACAGGAAATGACCAGAGGCTGCAGACACAGTACAGGAGATGACCAGAGACTGCGGACATAGTACAGGAGATGACCACACGCTGCGGACACAGTACAGGAGATGACCAGAGACTGCGGCCACAGTACAGGAGATGACCAGAGACTGCGGACACAGTACAGGAGATGACCAGAGACTGCGGACACAGTACAGGAGATGACCAGAGACTGCGGACACAGTACAGGAGATGACCAGAGACTGCGGACACAGTACAGGAGATGACCAGAGACTGCGGACACAGTACAGGAGATGACCAGAGACTGCGAACACAGTACAGGAGATGACCAGAGACTGGGGACACAGTACAGGCGATGACCAGAGGCTGCAGACATAGTACAGGAGATGACCAGAGACTGCGGACACAGTACAGGAGATATCCAGAGACTGCGGACACAGTACAGGAGATGACCAGAGACTGCAGACCTTGGGGGGGGGGCAGGTACCCGAATTTTACAAGTACCCGCTCCCACTTCCACGGAGTTGTCCTCCCCCCTCCCTTCCCGTAGTCTTGTGGGACATGTGACAGGTTCAACAAGACTATAGGACCATTCATGAAGCGCAACGCTACTCACGCATGCGCAGTGGGCACTCGGCTGTGAAGCTGCAAGCTGTCACAGCTGGGTGCCCACACTGAAGTTGACGGCGCCAGGTAGAGAAGACGGCCATGGAAGCAGGAGACCGCTGGACCGAGGAATAGGTAGGACGGAGGAGCGGGTTCTTCTACATAGTAGAGCCGAGCGGCTGGCCTGGTATTCTAACATGTCGGCGGGAATACCGGGCTGGTCACTCCATATATTCACTCCATAAAACGCACAGACATTTTCCCCCATTGTTTTTTTTTTTGGGGGGGGGGGGGGGGAGTACGTCTTATGGAGCGAAAAATATGGTAAATTTTTACTATTTTCCAGGAACTGCGCATCTAATAGGTCAGTTCTATCTTCAGCCAACCCCCCACTCACTTGCTCTTTTTTTCATCCAAATTGTATTTACCCTAAAAATGAAGTTGAGAAGGGAGAACACAGGACAGGATTGGGAGGGGCCACACTGTTCTGTGCAGTGATTATCTCTGTTCCTTATGCAAAGGCAGGAGCATGAGGAAGTATGTAAAGCCTATAACTTAAAGAAGAACTCCGGGATAGGCAAAAAAATCCACCAAATAGTACACCCCCTACACAAAACACTAATCAGTTAATAAAATATTGAAAATCCTTACCATTGAGGAGAAAAGTCTAATTGAATTTTCATGACTTTGTCATGAAAAAGATAACAGCATCTTGAGGTGGAGGTGTAACAGCAGAGATTACATCATATCCTCTCCTCTCTCTCTCTCTGCAGTAAAAGGAAACTACAGTTCCCATCATCCACAAGGAATTGTAGTGAATGTAGGCAGGTACACTAGGCCTGTACATGTTGAATGTGTCTGGGAGTCTGAGAATCTTGGTCCACCCATTGCAAGTGAGGCTGAATTACAACACTGCTTCCTGGACAAAGAACTACAGAAGGGATGTGCCAAGACCAGTGACTGGGGGAATAGAAGGCATAGCCGCCATCGATCTTACAAACAGAAAAACAAAGAGAATTAACGTTTTGATTTGAAAAAGAATACGCTATTTCAGATCAACTACTAAATGAACGAGAAGATGGATATCATATTCACTGAAGGTAGGAAATCAGCAACAAGGATATCTAAAGAAGTTTTTGTCCGGAGTCCTGCTTTAAGAAATCAAACAAAGTCACACTCACCTCATCCTCAATCCAGCGCCAGGTCTTTTTCCAGCACTGTGTCAATTAAATCTTCTGGGATCTCATCTACGTGTGTGTTGTCATCTACCTGGATGACATGTTAATTTTCTACCCAGATTTACATAATCACAGACAACTTGCAATGCCTCTGTGAAAATATACGTCACACTAAAGATGAAAAATGTCTCTCTGGAAAGGTGGAAAGGTTCCTTTCCTGACCTGTATTTTCAGTAAAGATGGCCTTAACATGAACCATGAAGAGTTGCTACTATTTCCAATTGGCTTCTGCCCAGCAATCACAAAGCTACACACACTTTCTAGATTTTAAATACTAGTACCAGCAGTTCATCATAAAATACCACTACTACTACTCTGTTCTTTTTGCTCCCATTGCCACTTTCCCCTATGGCAAAAAGATACCAACCCCAAGCACCAGCCTTTTGACCTAGTTAGTCTTCCATTCCTTGAAGTAAGCAATTCCTTCCAGACCTGCCCTAACAAGACCAGACATCAATAAAACCATGTCCATCAAGGTTGATGCCTCATCTGTGGGAATCAATGCTACTCTTTTCCAGTCCCCCAGTGGAGCTAGGCATCCAAATACCTTCTTCGCTAAAAAGTTTCCCACAGCACAGAGGAATTATTCTTTCAGAGATCAAGAACTGATCATTGTCGAACTGGCTCTTAAGAAGTGGTGATACCTATTAGAAGGATTACATAGTTAGTCTGGCTGAAAAAAGACAAAAGTCCATCCAGTTCAACCATAAAAAAAAAAAAGTTAGAAACCTACACCCACAGTTGATCCAGAGGAAGGCAAAAAACCCAGCAAAGTATGATCCAATTTGCTCCTGCAGGGGAAAAAAATCCTTCCTGATCCCCCAGGAGCCAATTGGATATTCCCTGGATCAACTTTACCAATAAATAATAACCAGTTATATTCTGTGTATCCAAGAAATAATCCAGGCCTTTTTTAAAGCAATCCACTCAGCTGGCCAGAACCAACTCTTGAGGGAGTTCCACACTTTCACAGCTCTCACTGCGAAGAAACCTTTCCGTGTTTAGAGATTAAATTTCTTTTCCTCCACATGTAAAGAGTGCCCCCTTGTCCTCTGTGATGACCTCGGGGTGAATAACTCTACACCGAGTTCACTATATGAACCACTGATGTATTTATACATGTTGATCATATCCCCCCTTAATCTCCTCTTCTCAAGAGAGAATAAATTCAGTTCCTCTAATCTTTCCTCATAGCTGAGCTCCTCCATGCCTCTTATCAGTTTGGTTGCCCTTCTCTGTACTTTCTCCAGTTACTCAATGTTCTTTTGTGAATTGGTGCCCAAAACATTATTATAAGGACATTATTCCACTGCATAGCTTGGTGTCATCTGCAAAGACTGAAATGGGATTTTTAATCCCAGACCCTATATTGTTTATAAATCTATTAAAAAGGGTCCCAACACTGAACCTTGGAGTACACCACTGACAACCCTAGACCATTCAGAGTATGAATCATTAACCATTACTCTCTGAATACAATCTGTTAGCCAGTTTTCTATCCATTTACATACGGATTTTTCCAAGCCTATAGACTTAACCTTACACATTAGAGGGGAACTGTGTCAAATGCTTCTGCAAAATCCAAGTATACCACGTCCACTAAATAATAATATTCAAGCAAGCGCTATTGTAATTAAAATATATAAATGAATAAATCAATATAATAAAGCAGCTTGCAAAAGGAAAAAAACTCTAAAAGTATCTATATCATAATTGCAGCGCTAAAATAATAATAATATATCAAATGGCAATATAAACTGATAAGTGAAACAGCACTACCAAGGGGTGCAATAAAGTGACAATAGTGTGTCGTTCTGTATGGACAAAAACCAGTGACATAAACACAGTATAAATGTACAGTGGGGATCGAAAGTTTGGGCACCCCAGCTAAAAATTAGTATTAATGTGCATAAAGAAGCCAAGGAAAGATGGAAAAATCTCCAAAAGGCATCAAATTACAGATTAGACATTCTTATAATATGCCAACAAAAGTTAGATTTTATTTCCATCATTTACACTTTCAAAATAACAGAAAACAAAAAAAATGGCGTCTGCAAAAGTTTGGGCACCCTGCAGAATTTATAGCATGCACTGCCCCCTTTGCAAAGCTGAGACCTGCCAGTGTCATGGATTGTTCTCAATCATCGTCTGGGAAGACCAGGTGATGTCATTCTAAAAGGTTTTAAATGCCCAGACTCATCTGACCTTGCCCCAACAATCAGCACCATGGGTTCTTCTAAGCAGTTGTCTAGAAAACTGAAACTGAAAATAGTTGACGCTCACAAAGCTGGAGAAGGCTATAAGAAGATAGCAAAGCGTTTTCAGATGTCAATATCCTCTGTTCGGAATGTAATTAAGAATTGGCAGTCATCAGGAACAGTGGAAGTTAAAGCAAGATCTGGAAGACCAAGAAAAATATCAGACAGAACAGCTCGCAGGATTGTGAGAAAAACAATTCAAAACCCACGTTTGACTGCACGATCCCTCCAGAAAGATCTGGCAGACACTGGAGTTGTGGTACACTATTCCACTATAAAGAGATACTTGTACAAATATGGTCTTCATGGAAGAGTCATCAGAAGAAAACCTCTTCTACGTCCTCACCACAAAAATCATCGTTTGAACTTTGCAAATGAACATATAGACAAGCCTGATGCATTTTGGAAACAAGTTCTGTGGACCGATGAGGTTAAAATTGAACTTTGGCCGGAATGAGCAAAGGTACGTTTGGAGACGAAGGGGCACAGAATTTAATGAAAAGAACCTCTGTCCAACTGTTAAGCATGGGGTTGGATCAATCATGCTTTGGGGTTGTGTTGCAGCCAGTGGCACAGGGAACATCTCATGAGTAGAAGGAAAAATGGATTCAATAAAATTTCAGCAAATTTTGGATGGTAACTTCATGCCATCTGTGAAAAAGCTGAAGTTAAAGAGAGGATGGCTTCTACAAATGGATAATGATCCTAAACACACCTCGAAATCCACGGGGGATTACATCAAGAGGCGTAAACTGAAGGTTTTGCCATGGCCTTCACAATCTCCTGACCTCAACATAATTGAAAATCTATGGATAGACCTTAAAAGAGCAGTGCGTGACAGACAGCCCAGAAATCTCAAAGAACTGGAAGACTTTTGTAAGGAAGAATGGGCAAAGATACCTCAAACAAGAATTGAAAGACTCTTGGCTGGCTACAAAAAGCGTTTACAAGCTGTGATACTTGCCAAAGGGGCAGTACAAGATATTAACTCTGCAGGGTGCCCAAACTTTTGCAGACGCCATTTTTTTGTTTTCTGTTATTTTGAAAGTGTAAATGATGGAAATAAAATCTAACTTTTGTTGACCGGCATATTATAAGAATGTCTAATCTGTAATTTGATGCCTTTTGGAGATTTTTTCCATCTTTCTTTGGCTTCTTTATGCACATTAATACAAATTTTTAGCTGGGGTGCCCAAACTTTCAATCCCCACTGTATATTGGTCCACACAAATTCTTCCTTAGATATGTGCT